AAATAAACTGAACCCACACTCGCTCTTCTTTTTCCATTCCCACTCTATTCTTCCACTTACAAAACTGCAATAAATGTCAGGTATGGTGGCACATGCCTTTAATCCCAGCTCTCAGGAGGCAGAGGCAGGCAGATCTCTGTAAGATCAAGGCCAGCCTGATCCACATAGTGACTTCTAGACAGGCTGGGACTAGGGAGACACTGTCAAAACAACATCAACAAACTGCAATAAATAGTTCCCTACTGCCCTGGAGATAAAGTAAAACTCTCTAATATGTCTTGTAGTGTTTTCCCTGAGGTGAGACATAACACAACTACCACTCCAAATATACTCTTTCTACCCTCCACACTGAACACCCCAATTATTTTTTTTACTATTAGGGTTTGTTTGTGTGTGTGTGTGTGTGTTTGTTTGTGTTTGTGTTTGTGTGTGTGTGTGTGTGTGTGTGTGAGAGAGAGAGAGAGAGAGAGACAGGGTCTCCCTGTAACCCCAGTTAACCTGGAACTCACCATGTAGAACAGGCTGGTCTTGATCTCACTGTTGATCTGTACTGGTCTCTCCAGTGCTGAGACTAAAGGCATACAACACCACACCCAGAATATTAAGGTTTATTTTAAGACAAGGTTCTCGTTATATAGCCCAGGCTGGCCTAGAACTCACTATGAAGGCCAGGTTGGCCTCATAATTTTCATTTTGCTGCATCTTTGCATTGTGAATGTTGGGCTTACAAACTCATGTCACTATGCTCCATTAGATTAAACTCTTCCATTTTGTTTTAATTATATTTGAATTTTGAGAGGGAGCCTTGCTGTGGCTATGTTGCCAGGTTGGTCTTGAACTCATGATGTCAGTAGTTGGAACTTTAGGCATCTACCACTACCTAGCTCTTGTGATCTTTTTTTCAAAGCACCTACAATTCCTCAAACCTCCAATGTTCTGCCCTTTCTTCTTGCCTTTGTTCCTGTTACTTCCTTTGCCTGGAAGACCTTCTCTGCCTCTACCACACTCAGTCACCATCCCTTGTCCACCTGGACAATTTTTTGTGTGTGTTTTTTTAAAACTTTAAAAAACTATTGAGAATTTCATACATGCATATAAGGTGTTTTGATCAAATCTATGCCCACTCCTTCCCCTCCAACTCCTCCTATATTTCCCCATCACCTTTTCCTGACAATTTCCTGTACTCTTTTTTTTTTAATGGGGCCTTTTAGTGCTCTAATATTCCCCTCTCTGAAGAGGTAACCCTAAAATCTTTTAGGGATTAAATAAGAACCCCCAAATACTTTTGATATTTTTGGCCTTTGGAATAGAGTATATTGCTAAGAGGCCCAAGGACATTTTGACATTTAGCCAAGAAACTGGTTCGGTTCACACCTGGACATTTTTAAATCATGCTCACCTCATGCATCCCTCTCCCCATGAGACCTTCCCACTCCAGAAGATAAAGTCCATGCCTGGGCTGTCTAAGGAGAGACCCTGTGTACACACATGCTAACTATGTGATAAGTGATCTTTCAGAGAGTTCTTCATGGCAATAAAAACTTTCTGAAATATTTGCAGATACATGAATCTTTTTAAAGATTTTTTGTGTGTGTGAGAACTGGTGGTGTACACCTTTAATCCCAGAACTCAAGAAGCAGAGGTAGATGGAACACTCTGAGGAAGAAGTTCCAGGCAAGCCAGGGTTACACAGTGAAATACTGTCTCAAGAAAAAAAAAATGTTAATGTTTTTATTCATTTGTATGTGTGTGTATGTCTGCGTGTAAGTGTATCCCACATGTGTGTGGGCACCTGCAGAGGCCAGAGGAGCAAGAGGGCATCTGATCCCCTGAGGCTGGCATTATAGGCAGTTGTGAGTCATCCAATGTAGGAACTCAGGTTCTCTGAAAGAGCAGTACATGCTCCTAACCACTGAACCATCTCTCCAGGCCCTAAATACATGAAGTTTTTAAAGTAAAAGAAATCCTTTTCAAGTTATAAACCAGTAATCACACAGCACTTGAGAAATGGAGGCACGAGGACCTAGAATTTGAGGTCTGGTATATATGAAATCCTGTCTCAAAAAGGAAAAAGAATGTGCAGGGCTGATGAGATGGCTCAGCAAGTAAGGGCACTTGCTGCCAAGCCTGAGTTCCATCCATGGAACCCAAAAAAGGGGAAAACCTAGAACTGAGTCCTGCAAGTTATCCTCTGACCTCCACCCGTGTTATGAAACATGCTCACACATATAAACACACAAAAAAATTATGTTATATTTAAAGCCAAAAATAAATACATATATACCTATGTAAAAAAAAAGTTATAGTACAAGCCAGGCATGGTGTCACAAACCTGTTACTCCTCTGGAGGTTGAGGCAGCAGATCATTTAAAACCCAGAAGTACAAAACCAACCTCGGCAATTTAGCAAAAATGCCCACCTCAAAAACAAACAAATAATAAAGTTATAAAGCCCTAAAGTTAGTGCCCCGGACACAAGAGTACCCCCCTTCCAATGGGGCACAGCAGGAAAGTGGGGAGGTAGAGGTGAAAATGTTGAAAGACATAAAAGCAGTACCAGCCCCTGCAAAAGAGAGCTGCATGGTGACTGCTATCACATCACGTCGGTGCTAGGATGCCTTGCCGTGCCATACTTTGGAGAACTGCCAATACATAGCAGATTTCCAAGGTTCAAGAAAATAAAACCAGCCCAGCATAGTGGTTCATGTCTTTAGTGCAAACAGACAGGAGGCCAGGCAGGTGGATTTTCCTAGGTTCGAGGCCAGCATGGTACACATAGTGAGCTCCAGGCCAGCTGAGGCGACAGGGAGGAGACATTGTGGAAAGAAAAGAAAGAATGAGAGAAAGAAAGAAAGAGAAAACCAGAAAGGGGGGACAGATGCAGGGAGGGAGGGAAGGAAGAGAGGAAAAGGAGGGAAGGAGGGAAGGAGGGAGGAAGGAGGAAGAAAGAGAAAGGGAGGACAGAAAAGAAAGGAAGGCAGAGAGAAAGAAGGAAAGAAAGAAAGAAGGAAATGAGGGGGGAGAGAGGGAAGAGAAAAAATGAGGGAAAGAAGGAGGGAGGAAAAAGAAAGGAAGAAAGAAAAAGAGAAAGGAGGGAAAAGGGAAAAGAAAGGAAGGAAGGCAGAGAGAGAAAGAAGAAAGCAAGAAAGCAAACGAAACCACAAAACTAGAAATAAGAGAAATGCCTGGCAATGCAAATGAGGGCTTGTAATTTATTTTTGTGATAAAATGTGCACTTCTAGGCTAGGATTGTAGCTTAGAAGTGGAGCATTTGCCTAGCACATGATGATTCACTCCTGTAATCCCAGCACTCAAGAGGATCACCGCCAATTATTTCCAGGCCATCTTGGGCTGCATAGCAAAACTCTGTCTCATTTTTGAAAATGTTTCTCCTATAACGTTGTTGGGGGTTTTTAAATCTCTCACTGAACAGTCACATCCAAATTTCAGTTCGATTCTTCTGTAGTCCCCAAAATCCATTTAAACTGCTCTTAAACTCACTGGTACACGTCCCTTAATGATTTATTACTACATATAGAAAAAAAAAAAAAAAAACACGGACAACTTACAAACAAAAAAAAAGAGCAAAAATTTCTGATTTAATAAAACGCTTTTGAACAGGGCCCGAGGTTTCTATTGGCTTATG